TTGCATTACTGTGTTTTCTTTCATGCGAAGTTTTTGTGCTTTCTGTACTTACCATTTTATTTTTTTATGTTCTGTGTAAATCTTTTTTTGTTAACATAACCATGCAGTATTGTAACTACTCATCTCCCTCCCCCCTATGTAACGCAAAAAGAGAGAGAGAGAACCTGATTGCCTCTCTTGAGGGTCACAAGCTCACGTCTCCTTGACAGCCCTACTGCCGAATAGTATTGCAGTACGGCTGTTGCGGAGGCGTAAGCTTCACGCAGGCTTCAGGCTGTCATCCATGGTTTGTACTCTTTTTGCCCGTACGTCTCTCGCTGTCAACCCGCCGCAGTGACACAGTCAGACGCTGTAACCAATCGACCACCGCTGCAGTGCGGCTCACTTGCTGTGAGGCTCTGCGTGCTGCTAGGCGCAACGTCACGGCGGGACCTTGCGCCTGCAGCGGAGGTATTTCAAAAAAGGACAATGCGAAAAAAAAAAAAAAAACCTGGCATGCATTCGGAAGAAGCAGCACTACAGTATAAAGTTGGGCGTGTTGGTAAGACATACTTAATCGACGTAGCGCGTTTTGAAACATAGGACAAGGAAAGGGACAGAAGGGAGCGCTTACTTCCAACAAAACTTTATTTCGAGGAGCGTACATATATATGCTCATGAAATTTGAAAACAACAGACAAACAGATTAAAAACTCCCTATTGCCATGCGCTAAAAACTTATGATCTCAAAAACGACCATTTTTTTTCACAAAGACCGAGAGAAGGATTGCTGAGGCAGTTCAGCCCTAATCTTGCTACGAACACGCTTGCAACGTAAAAAATGGTCGAGATGGTTTTTTGGCACTACATTGCAGCACGTGTGGCTGCAAACCACTTTTTCGTGGTACGGTAATTATAGGAAGAAAACAGAAATAAAGTGACAAGGGAGATTATTGAAGCAGAAAGGATCAGTAGATTAGGGCTGAACTGCGGCAGCAATCCTTTTCTCGGTCTTTGTGAAAAAGAATTGTCGTTTTTGAGATCATAAGTTTTTAGCGCATGGCAATAGGGGGTTTTTCATCTGTTTGTCTGTTGTTTTCGAATTTCATGAGCATATATATGTACACTCCTCGAAATAAAGTTTTATTGGAAGTAAGCGCTCCCTTCTGTCCCTTCCCTTGTCCTATGTTTCAAAACGCGCTACGTCGATTAAGCACTACAGTGTCTCCCATAATCTGTGAGTTATTCTCTGAAATTGAAGCTTGCAAGAGCAAATATTCTTCGCGTGCAAGAGAACATGCTTGCCATACGAGAGACATGGCGCGAAGTAATTTTTCGTGCAATGTTTCTTTGTGATACATGAAACTGCCAACCGCAAGGGTAGAATCGACTAGTTCGGTTTAAAGTATTTCGCAAGCTGTTTCCCTCCCACTCTTTTCTACTTTTAAAGTTCCGTTGTTCCTAACGGAAAAAAAAAAACACAAGTTTGCCTCGAGAGTGGTTCCACCTAGCTAGATGCATGAATGCAGCCGCGCTTAATTGCATGCCTCCGGATGCCAAAGGATAAAGGCCGTGACAAACCGTGCCTTCCGCATACATGACCTTGGGGGACGTCGTTTACGGTGCTGGCACTTCTGCGTACGTATGCATCAAACAAGGATAGGAGCGGCGGCGAGGGTGCATGTGTTTGCGCACGCGAGCCCGTCTGGAAAGGGACGAAAACACACCGCAGTGCCCCAGAACGCCTCGTTGGCCCTCGTAGAGTGAAACCACTCATCTAGCGTGAAATGTTCGTGACGTGCGCCCTCACTCGGCACACTCGAGACGCCCACATGCGCACATGACTCTTCTTCCCGCCCTTGCACAAACAGCAACAACATAAGCGGTGCACTCGCGGAGAGTGGTCGCCCCGCATTTGCTCGATGGGGCATCGCGTGAGGTACGCCCTACCGGAGTCACGCGCTAGTGTGCGCAAGGCACTGCACCGTGTCGCCTGTAGGCAGACAGAAATTAGGTGCCTTCTTCCTTTTCCTCATGAACCACTAACAACAACAACATTGCGAACATGAGAGAGCAATATATCTGAGGCGTAGATGCGGCGCGCACGGGATCAGAACGAATGCACTGTGTCAACCAAGGATGAAAGCACATCAACTAGGTCAACTTTCAATCCTTGTGGAGCAATATAATAGGACGATTAATCAAACCACACTGCGCTTTACAGATCCTCGTACTGTAAGTTTCGCGGTGCGAAACTCTACGCTGCGCTTGTCGCGCGGTATAGCGAATGAAATATTGTTTGATAAGCTCGTTCGCAAAGCCAACCAGATGTGTTATCGCATATTTTCAGTCCTTGTATGCAGATTGCTTCCTCCCCATTGACACTGTAGCGTCAACGGTATCGCCAAACCGGTACGCCACAGAAGAGAAGATTCGTTAAAAGAAAAACAGCAGCCAAGACTCCAGTAACTTTTCAACTTTTAACTAGGTTTGATTCAAACGGGTGTTGTTGCCCTTAGCAGCAGGTAAGTCGACTTTGCTGAATCATCAGTTAAAGAACAACGACACTGTTGCGATTTTGATACTAATGCAGCATAAAACATGTTTAGTTTTCGCTGCTGCTCAGCGCCACTCCCAAAGACCATTTATGGGCCATCTGGCTCGCCGACGACGAGTCAAAGGTTTATGATTCATGAGCGCTCGCGGATTCATGAGCACTCGTCCAGAAAAAAAAAAGCAAAAAAAGGACACGAAAACTCAAGGGAGAAACAAACTTCGGCTTTCAACTCGTGAGTACAAGCGAATGAGACACTTATGCTCGAATCATACACACGGAATAAAACGCAGAAACTAGAACAGGCAGGCGCTATTAGGTATGAACATCACGTGATGCCAGGTAATATTCCTTGTTGGGCTGACAATATTGATGCTATGCTTGCATGATAGCCTGTTAGCTGATAGGGAAGGCTTCAAAAATGCATGTTTCAAATTCCTGCGCATACTTTTACAGAACACGTATCGCTGACAGCTCAGGAATGTGAGCTGTCCACCTCACATGTGCCGACGCGTGTGGCCGACAGACAATGAGCTATACTGACCGCCGTTTAGTTGCAAGTAGAAAGGCTGGAATAAGCTAGGTGTGCGCGTAGTATGTGCCACTATTCCTTTGGAATATGACTTTCGTTTGTTGTGTATAGCTCTGTAAATGAATTGTTTTATACATCATGGTGGGTTTATGTGCATGCATGAGCTTTTGACTCGCATATTAAAGACAGATCTTTATAGTTAATCTATGTACTTCCACACTCCTTCAACTTTTCTTTCCGATCCGATTCCTGGTTCGCTTGCTTCACATACTGATGTTCGGAGTTAGCAGAACATTTCACCTTGCTTTTCAATTGTTTCGAAATCGTTGTGACGAAACAACAGACAATTTTCTCAATGCTTTTCTTGGCTTCGTCGCCGGTCGGCTCCATGTTGCTTTAACTAGCAAAAATAGAGCCGCCCGGCTTTTCTTCCTTGCCGCATAGTGGGAGTCATATAAAAACTTTGGCAGGCTTGATAGCCTAATAAATGAGCTTTTAAATAAGCCATATTCCTGACCCTACTTTCGCCTGCTACGTGACCCTGCCTGCATTTGGGGAAATGCGCTCAACCAACGCTGCCATGTAACCGTGAACTAACGCCTATCTGTTACATGTATACACGAATGTTTACCCGCGCAAGAAGCGCCTTTCTGAAGCACCAGCTCCCGGAGAAGACTGCTTCAATTTTTGCTGCAATGCATGTGGCACGAATATAACGTTAAAACAAACAAACAAACAAACAAAACGAAACGAACGAAAGCCGTATAGGATAGACACGTAGTACGTGCACGCACTCCGAGCCATTTCCTGAATCATACCGCGCGCGAAGTCCGAACGGAAACGACTGCGTAGACAAGAGAAGGTCACTCTGCTGCGCAGTCGTGGCAGAAGAAAGAAAGAGGGGCTGTTTCGTGGTTCGCCAGCGTCCGAGAAGTCAGCAGCGCTCGATTTCGCCGAGACGTGAATGAAGAGAAAGCAAACAGGACGCACGGAACTTTCGAGCTCTTCCACGCGTGACGCCAACAGGTGCCTCCCCCACGTGACTCCCTTATGCGTGCACGCATGCATGCATGGCTTTCGTTCTCAGTTGTCAAGGGGACCCCGCGAGTGGATCTTCTTGCCGGCTGGCACTTTGTGGCGTTTTGTTTGTAACTTTACTAAGTTCGGAGTGCACGAAGTAAAGGCTTCGCGAAAGAGGAGTGGCGAAGCTTTTACTTAGGGATTAGTTACATTGTTGTAAGTTAAATGAGAGCGGGGGCAAGAATGAATCGGCCTTCGTCAACAAAGTTTTTTGTTGATACCACATATCTGTAGTACATCTTCTTTCTCTCCTTTCTATCTAAATTATAACTACCATAAAACACGTGGTAAATTATGTTTGCTGTAGCGTTTATGTGGCTTTCTCTATAGGTTTCTGTCTTTTTTCTTCTTTTGTTATTTTGCTAGTGCGTATTCTTGTATTGGACTTGCTTCACTTTTTTTGTTAACCATCATCAATGACACGTAGTACACGTCGCAAATTTTTTCTATTCATATCACTGTGCATTCCATAAATATGCTTAGGCGGTAAACAGCGCGGACAACACGATAAAACAATAACACGGGACTTTTCTTTTTCTTTGCTTTTCCTTACCGTAGTCCACACTATTTTTAGCCACAATAAAGTAACATCAAGGCGAAGTTCTGACGTTTTAAAGAAAAAAAAAGTGCGTTTTATTTTAGGAAGGTGTCACCTTGTTCCAAGTTTTGCTTTCTGGCAAGACATGTCTTGTATACCACAACAACGCGCATGGAGAGTTGCAAAAGTGGGCACTGCAAACCATTTGTTGAGCTATGTTTGTACCAAGTGACCCCATCTCCCTCTGCCGGTCCCCCGATGTTAGGGACAAGTTGCATCAGCATGCACGGCACCGGTGCGTGCCCAGCCGAGCTTACCGTTTCGTGCGCAGCAGCGGAGCGTCGTCGGCGGAAGACAGCGGGGGCTCTCGGTTGACTTGACACGTCCAACGTCCGTGCGTCAACAGCGGGCCGTCGGCACCGCGTCGTCTCCGGCATGTGCGTCGCTACCGGTTGCGCAAGTTGTTGGTGCTTGGCCAGTGGCCACCATTGGAACAGCGCGGTCCTGACGTGACGCTAGCGTCACGATCAGAGAGGAGGAGCATGCGCGTTTTTTGTATAACAACGCGTTGCGTGGATACGTGTTGGAGAAGGGCGCGCCTTCGTTGAAGGGACGCGGCATGCGCAGCGCTGGAATGTAAGGGAAATGAGGAAATGCATCCGTTAGCGTGGGATCTCTCATTAACGCGTGCCAATTCTGCGCAACTCAGTGCGGCACTGCCTTGGACAGCATCCATAGCTGGAGGCACGCGTATCTCAGCTCTCACGCAATCAGTTTCTTCTGTCCGAGGACATAACTCCTCCTGGGACGCTAACCGCAGAAGACACTGAATCCCCGCTCAGATAAATTTTAGTTACGAGTCAGCGCCTGTCTGTGTTCTTTTACTTCGTCGTTGTCTCGTGTACGCTGTTCAACCAAGATGTATGGAACTTGTGAGTTTGTTTCTCGGCTGCAACTTGTACCTTGGGTGCTGTAAATGATGCTTCCGACGACAAGCTGAAAAGCTGGCCCGCCAGAACTGCACAAGATACTGCATAGTCGTAGCGGCACACAGTGCCATGCGAAGCTGATGTCGTGGCATTGCACCTCGAACAATACAATAAAGGTGCACTAGGAATGTCGAAAGGGGGCAATATCATAGCGACAGACCAATAAGGTGACGTGGTAGGTCGCTATTCCATATTCTAGCGGGCGAGCACATCAGCCACTTACCCAAAATGGTTCAACTGAAGCTGTATAACATGCGCTACCCACATTGGCAAGACGCTAAGCGTGATGTTTGTTCTCTTGTGTATACTTCAAGCTTTTGCACTATTGGTTAAACAATAGAGTTTAGTGGCTAAAAAAAAATACAAGCTTAGAGCAAGCTTAACTACTTTATGACGTATGGGGAAGAGCTCCAGATTATTCTTGGTTGTGTGTCACTATTTAACATGCACCTAAAGGACGCTTAGGATGTTCTAGAATATCGCCCACTTTAGAAAGCAATCAACATGGATGGGAATCGAACCGTCAACGTCGTGCTGAGCAGCCATATTAGAAATCTATAAAATTCTAATATAAAACGATGAGATATAGCTTATTGCCTCATCACAAGAAAGTGGTAAAGGATGGTATCGTTGCGAAAGAAAGAAAGAAAGAAAGAAAGAAAGAAAAAAAGAAAGAAAGAAAGAAAGAAAGAAAGAAAGAAAGAAAGAAAGAAAGAAAGAAAGAAAGAAAGAAAGAAAGAAAGAAAGAAAGAAGGAAAGATTAAAGCTTACGTGGCTGTGGCGTATGTGAAAACCCAACGCTCGGACATGCAGTAACGTTTGACATAAGCCGCCCAGTGATGAGTATATCGGTTCATCGTGCGAACATACACAGGTAAAAAATTGATACTGCAGAAAGAATCCGGTATAGTGGCCAACACACTGTCATGAATTAAGCATATATAAGCTGTGATTCCAGTTGCTCGACCTTTGTCGGCAACTCAATACGCCTTTGCTGCTTCCCTAAATTACTGGAGATTTTGTCCGCTGGCGGTATGCCACGTGAAAAGTGAACTCTAGAAATTTCTGCCGATTACATACCTCTTTGTGTGTGCAGAGCAGATATATATTGAGGGAACATCTCTTAATAATCTGTCATGCACATCAACGCAAGAGGAATGGTGTTTAATAATTGATGTTCTAAAACTGCATAACACATGGTAAATCGCGGGTATTACTTTCTTTCGCACCATAATAAGAAAAAAATAAAGGTGGAAGGATGAGGGGTGTTACACATAGCTAGTAACCTTTTCAAAGGCGTTTGGGCTGATGGCATAATTTATTACATGTGTGGAAATGCAGCGCAAATAGACGGGGCTCATGAAGAAGGTATACACAACAACGTCATTGTATATGTGTTGCTTTCGTATGTACTGAGCTTTCGTGGTGTTTCTGCTTCACTTCTTTTTCGCGTACTCGGAAAAGTGGCTTGAAAGCTATAGAACAGTTCGCAAAAGCATAGCTGATTATATTGCGCATAATGGTGATGTTAATTAGGCGGTGTTTAGAAAAGACTCCATTCTCGCGCGCAAAGTAAATCGGTGATGTGGGGTGATGTATATCGTATCAATTTCCACTTTAGCAGCGCCACACAAGGCCCGCCCGTACAAGTAGCACGTTTTGTAACGATACGCATTTTCATTTTGACCATGAATTCGTCGCGCTGCAGAGATGCACTTGCAGGCAAGCTTACAAATGACGAAGGACGAAAACAGTGCGAATCGAAATGAGGCGTAAAAAAAAGGCCCTAGACGGGACGGGCAGAAATAATCTGTAGATTTAGATAAGCACAATATAGAAAATGTATACATGAATGGATCAGTTGTCAAGGGCAGCACAAGTCTTCATTCATTTAGTGGCTGACTCCTGATGCTGATTTCCTTCTATTGGATACTTACGTCATGTGAGGCTTATACAATATAACCTTCCACATATTTTAACACAGCGCACGACTACGCGGCCACAAGAGAAGAATCAAGAAGCGACAAACTGCAGCGCTGGTGTTTAAACTGTTTTTGTCAGTCTGAACAGCTTGAGTGAAATCCAATCCCTTCTTGTAAGGGCTTTGACAATATACCTGTACAGGAAACTTCCGGCGCAGGTAACGGGGATTAGTGACCTTAACTGCAACAACTTGGGCTGCCTCAGTGGGCTCAAATATCTGAAAGGTTCGCTGCGAAAGTGCATGCGTGTTCGATGAAAGCATGCAGAGGAACAGTTGACAGTGCGTAATATGATGATAACCAGCAGTTGTCGAATTTACACAGCATTTTTTTTTTTTCATAAGATGACTCGAGCCATACATATTCACGCAAGAGAGAGAGAGAGAGAGAGAGAGAGAGAAACGGCAGTTTCACGTGTCTACTACTACTACTACTACTACTACTACTACTACTACTACTCGTACTACTACCTCTTCTAATGTTTTACTAGTATTGCTACTAATTCTACTACTACTTCTACTACTACTAGTACTACTGCCTCTTCTAATGTTTTACTAGTATTGCTACTACTACTACTACTACTACTACTACTACCGCTACTACCATTTCCGCCTCTTCTATTGTACTACTACATCTACTACAACTAGTATTGACGACGACGACATCGACGGCACAGGGTAGACTGCCTCAGCTTCGCTGCAAAAAAAAACTTTCGCAAAAAAATGCTCGTACGAAAATATTTCAATCAATCGTGATTCTAAACGGAATCCGGATGCTCTGCACCAATATAATTAGCGAAACCATCCGGTTTTCCGAAGTGTTCCAGCCAATCCAGTTGCTAGGCACATTATTGGCGAAGGCGGTCATGCCAATGGTAAGAATATGTTTTTACAACCAGCTTTGTGAATTCGCACTCGATCATCATAAACCTGTGCCAATATTCCCATAAAGCTTCATGCCTCAATACAAAAAGTAAAAGGGGTCCCAAACGTTTGGGATCATTTCTGTATGTATACTTTGAGTCAAGCAGGAGCAACGAATTTTCAAATGGGATCTGCGGCACTTTGGACACTCGACCTATTCTGACCGAGAGCCGCCACTTCAGTGGGTATCGTCACGTTTGTCTGACGCAAAGTTTTTGGGGCCGACTTTAGGGCTCCGGCTAAATTGAGAAATATAGCGTCCTTAACACAAAACCCAAACCCTGTTTGGGCCTCCCACATGCGCAGTGGCCTCGACGCTATTCCTTGGGACCCCCAAAACGATTGGAGCCCCCATTCGAAAACTCCCTATATTAATCGTCAATAGTCAGCACTCTGGCTAGACAGAACAACAAACGTTCTATTAAACAGTTTTTATTCCAACCCAACATAAATTAATTAGTTTGTCTGTCGTCGCACTCAATCGCAAATTCGGGTGGTCGATCGGCCCCTTTTCGTGCACGTTGAATATAAGCGTTCATTAATTTGTTCCTCGGGATCTCGAACACTGAAGCATGCCATGCATAGGCTCTGCCGGCTGTTCACCTATAGTTGAGGCAGGCAGAGATCAAAGAAATGTGCTAAATTTTGGTGGAAAATTACAGTACCTTTCCAGGAGGGCAGCCAAAAGCGCTAGCAGTGGCGGACCTTTTGCCGGTGGTATTGCCCGTTCTGTCGACGTCAACTAAACCGACTGACTCGCGCCGACCGCATACCATTGTCACGTCACTTTTTCCCATTTTCGACCAACTCTGTAGGCAGAGAGCCTCGACAGACGAGCAACAAGATGTGCTTTAGACCTCGCCCATTCCAGCCACAGCACACTTTCAGTTATTGTGCTCTTTTTCCCTCCGAACCTTCTCTATTTATGGTTTCTTTTGCATTGTTCGCGTATGCACGTGTCTCATAGCGTATGAACAAACCCAGGGGCGACTGAGATACGGGGGAAAAGGAAAGCCGTCTGTGAAGACGAAGACGTGACAATACAGCGGTGCTTGGAATTGCCAGACAGCTCTTGTAAATAATAAATAATTAATAAGATAAATACCAAATGATTGAGATAATAAAACATAAAAAGTAAGTACCAGTAAGAGATAAAAGTAAGCCTAACTTCAAACTTCAATACGCCATACGGATTGCGACTGAGGAATGTCAAAGACGAAGACATTCGCTCACGAGGCCTGGCCATGCTTTGGCGGCTTCCATTCTTTTCTGCACGGGACATGATGCAGCGCTTACGTGTCGTCAGCACCATTCCAACGATGTTCAAAGTTGCCACAGTTGATCGTGCCTCTGTAGCCCCGTTGATCCGCTGGTCTTCCCAGTCATACCGGGATATCTTGCTGCCGTGGTACGAACACCGCTGTGATACCGGCTCCGTCTTCAGTCTCACTCAAGTCTTCGTTGTTCCGGGCAGAGCTCGTAGAACTGCCGGCCGCGCTCCCGCCCGAATCTGTTGCCGCAAGGTTGGAACAATCGTCAACGATC